TGGTGTGGGGTGTGGTGTGTGTGGGGTGTGTCGTCCGTAGCTCAGCTCACCTTCTGTATTTGTGAATGTCTTGCAGCTTGTCGCTGGGCAGGTAGAGGCGGTACTCCACCTCTAACACGTCGTAGATGTGCCTGTGGGTGCCAACACACACACACACCCCGAGTGTGTCATCAACGCCTTCCTGCCTGCCCGGCTGACTGACTGACCTAAAAGGGTCTCTAAGAAAGCGGAGCACTCGGCCCCTCGGCCGAGAGTGAGCCCAGCCTGATGCAAAACACACACACACACACACACGAAGGGGTGCCACGAAGGCCTCGTCGATCGCACCAGCCACCGCACCGACCAGTGATTTGGACGACGTAGAGCTGCTCGAGGGTGAACTTGAAGAGCATGTCCTTGGTGTCTGTCGCCATGGCCACACTGACGGCCGGCATCTCGCGCAGCAGCGGGATGAAGGTCCAGTACATCGTGTCCGTCTGGGCCTGACACACCCTGCACACACACACACAGAGGGAGAGAGAGGGGGGGATGGGGAGAGAGGGAGAGAGCGGGCTTGATGTGTGTGTGTGGGGTGTGTGGGGCTGTGGGGGAGGGTTGTGTACCTGCAGACCACTTGTGTGTGTCGAAGTCCGGCGAATAAAGGCTCAGCTCTGCAAACACACAAACCACACACACACACATACTGCCTGTCTGTCTGTCTGTCTGCCGGGCCCACTGCACGGCGTACCTACCTCGCCACTCTGCCGTAGAGAATGCTCTCATTCAGAATGTGATAAGATAGAGCGAACTCTCGCTCTCGTATACTCATATTACCTCGAGCTGAGCGACCCACACACCACACAGACAACACAAGACAACACAAGGCAACACAACAAGACATAGCACCAGGACCCCTCTGTGTGGTCCGTGTGGTCTGTGCGGTCGGTAGCCTCGCCCACCTTTCACTTTTTTATACATGGCGTCGAGAGCATTCTGCGGCAGCTCCACTGCGATGAGCTCTATGGTGACGAGGTCGTTGTGGTAGGCTCGGTTGCGCTCTGAGATGCCCAATATCACCACACGCCTGATCACACCACCAACACAGAACACACAGACACAGACCGACCCCTATGTATGTGTGTGTGTGTGTGTGTGTTGGTGTGTGAGGGGGAGGGGGAGAGGGTGACCTGTGTAGCAGCCACACGGGCCCGTCGACCACGGTGACGGTGGCCTTGGCGTTAACGAATTCGCTGTCCTGGCTCGCTAACACCGATATCACACCCTGGGCAGCACCACACACACATCGCCTCACACACACACAGGGGCAAGGAAGGCATCCGCCCCGCCCGGCCCACCTAGGTACCTTCGCAAAGATGCCTTGGAGGGCGCGGTTAAGCCCCGCCTGATTGAGGTCAAGCTGCCTCGGGAAAGACACCTGCCGCGTGCTGTCAACCTTTTTATCAGCCTCGCGAGGCGGTAGGTACTGCCTAAAGCGCGGCGGATCCTTCAGCAGCGCATCCACAGCCTGGTCTCGCGTCTGCTGCTGCTGCTGCTGCTGCTGATGCTGCTGATGGTGCGGCCGAGTGCCTCTATCGGCCGCCTGGCCGACGAGGACGCGAAAGTCGTCATGGGCGGTGGAGGTGGCCTGCCGCTCAAACTCGGCCAAGGGATCGTCGGCATTTAGCTCATCGTCCGACGCGCCGTCGGCAGAGAGGCCGTCGTTGTCGTCGTCGATGTTGTCGAGGCCAAAGGCCTCGGGCAACAGCTCAGAGGCGTCGACGGCGCGGTCGAACTCGTTGTTCTCCTCGTAGTCCATTAGAGAGAGAGAGAGAGATGTGGAGCAATCGAGGCGGTCGAGGCGGTCAGTTGGTTGTGTTGTTATAAAGTGGGTGGCTTGGGTCTCAACGAGTGAGAGTCCAGGCCTTTATAGAGAGAGGTAGCTGGTGAGGATGTCCACAGAGCCGAGGCCGAGTGGAGTATCAAAGAAAAAGTCTTTCCCCGTTCCCACAGAGAGAGAGAGAGGGAGAGAGGTGGTTGGCAGAGCAGCGACCTGTATCAAGCCACAGAGCCACAGAGCCACCACAGCGATACAGCAGCAGCACCAGCAGCCGCAGCACGAGTAAGGCCGATAACAAGCCGCCTTCAGTCTTGCTTCAGCCACATCAGCTCTGCTCACTCAGCTGCATCCCATCCACAAGCAAGCCCCAGAGAGAGAGAGAGGGAAGCTGAAATCGCCGCTTTCTCCAGCAAGAGTCCCAACAGCTCCGCACTCACTGAGATGCCCTCGGGTGTCGACGAGGCACCTCACAAGCTACCGTACGCCGCTCGATGACGATGACCGCAGCAAGGCAACGGAGTTCTGGCAGGTTTTCGGGTTGCTCTCGCTGAAATGGAGCGATCCTCGCTCAGAATGAACAGCTATGGCGCCCAGAGTCTCAAAAATGCCGCGCGAGCGATCCAACATGCGATCTCAAAAGTGACCTGAGCTGAAGGGGAGGGAAGCCTGGCGGCGCATGCAGACGAGAGCGGCTGAGCCGTTGTGGTGGTAGCGTGTCCGAATCTGCCGTTTCATCCATCGTCCATCTCTGCTGATGGAGGAGAGTGTGAGAAACTCTCCTTATGTGCGCAGGTCTGGGGCGGCATGATCAATAAAGTGGCATTCACAGAGAGACCCATAGCGTCGAGTCGACAGACTCAGACACACACACACACACACGCACGAGCAGAAGCACCCTGTGCATGATCGACACAGTGGCACACAACAGTCGCAGTCAGCAGAGCATGCGTCATCCACTCGCACTCCTCTCGCTCTCTCACACACGCACCGCGCCTCTCCCGTCAACAGGCCCTCAGCACCACATCACTTGCTCTCACACACATGGATGATCAGACAACACACGCACAGCCTGCCTGCCTGCCTGTCTGTCTGTCTGTCTGCTTCGTCTCCTCTCCTCTCAGCCCGTTGTCTCATTCCCTTGCTCAACTCGTGCCTGCCAGTTCTCTGCGCTGCCTACGCTGCCATATGGATCACCACAACTGTCCTGTCCACACTCACTGGTCAGCCACCTAGGATGATCGGTGCGATCACAGGCCCCAACATTACAGGTGCCAGGGCGGCGGTCTGTTGGTGGAGATCCTTGTAGCCACCCTGGGCGACGACAGGGCGCTCGGTTGTCCAAAGCAGAGCCACCACTGCAGACAGACAGACAGACAGACAGACAGGTCAACGAGAGAAGGACAGAAGAAAAGAATGGTTTACCGGCATATCGACTCTCTCTCTCTCTCGTGTGATTTAGCACCGCTGACCGCTGTCATTGGGCTCCGATGACATGCTGATCATTGTGAGGAATGGGTGGCCGGCGGGGGTCAGCCGGAGATAGTAATGCAGGCAATTGTCCGAATGGAATGGGATGGCCAGAGTGCAGTTGTCCACCGGCTCGTGTGGGGACTCTTCGAGCAGTCTATGCAGCCGATCATCCCCCATTTCCCTGATCATCCGCCGACAAGCACCCACACACATACACACACACACACACACACAACCTCATCAGCTGCCTGACCTGGTGATTTGTCCGCCAATCGACGAAGTCCCACGACTGCGGAAAAAGTGCTCGAAGATGTTCCTCTTAACAAAGGACGATACCGAAGGATCCGTGATGGCCTCATGATGACCACGTGAGCCGCGCCAACGATCAAAAATGTTCCACCCAAACCGGCTGCTGACGGGCGGGTTGTGGGCGAGGCGGCGCTGCTGGTAGAGGTGGTTGGCCGGGAGAGGTGGGTCAATTGTCAGCTCGAAGCCACTCTGGTCCTTAATCGCCCGCAGCTGATCGCCATGCTGGAACAGCTCGAAAGTTGCGTCGTTGTTGGGGAAGCCAATATAATGGCCGACCATCTTGAGCTGAGCCAACACACGTGGCCCAGCCAAATACGCCTGCACACACGCAGACGCCACACACAAGAACACGATGACAGCACACAATAATGAGCCGATCCTTGTTCCCTTCCCCGCCTCTCTCTCTCATGTGCCTTACCGCCATGTTAGTGTGTCGGTGGAGGTCAGCGGCAGTGAGGACGACCGGCAGCTGACAATACCCACACTGCTCCGCCAGCTCGAGGGCCTCCCGCACCTCACACCAGTCGCCCCCCACCTCCATCACGCTCACAGCCGCCAGCAGATCGGCCACACCCATCTCCTCATCGTCGAAGCACAGCAGTCCCGTCTGTGTACTGAGGGTGTGGGTGAGCCGCTGCCGCAGCTGAGGCGCTCTGAAGAGGTTTCTCAGCCATCTGCAGGTGCCTCTCAGCCGCAATGTGTCCTCTATGCTGAGCAGAAACAAGGTCCGGCGGCCGACGAAGAGGTAAGAAACCGGGTGGTCGTACCGATCTGCCTCCTCCTCCTCCTGCTGCTGCCGCTGCTGCTGCGTGTTTTGCAGCATGGGCATCAGAAGTGATGAACGTCGGGGCGATGGGGGATCACGAGGGAAGGCTGAATGCGGCGACCTTTTGCAGCTTAGCCTGCAGAGGCGAAGCTCGCAGTGAGGAGGGGGGACGAAGAGAGCGAGGTAGATGACGGCACACATCTCACGATGACGAGGCCATGCCGCCTGACCGGATTTCGCCGCCTGTCATGACCGCGACGAAACTTGCATGTCGCGCGTGAGGCGGCGTGAGGTTGTTGCCGACGTCCGTCGCTGAGCAGCATGCATATGCATTCCCCCCCGGGATGACCACCGACGGCACAGCGGCAGCGGCAGTAGTCAAGAAGATGATGCCATTGGCGGCAGGACCCATGCTGCCCATAGCAGGACACCACGGCACAGAGGTCAGCTGGCGAGGTGCGACTCGGGTGCGTTGATTGGTTGGTTGCTGGCGTGTGTCTCTTTCAGATGACCATCGAGCCGTTCGCTGCGTCTATCATGGCTGCGGCGAGTTCTGGCGGGTGGACGCCCGACTCTCTGGCTGGCGGCCACCGCTCTCCTTCAGTGTCGTTCAGCCATGGCGACGTGATCCCTCTGCCCGGCGACGACACGCCGGCACACAAAGTGGGCGACTACACACCAAAGGGCAACACCGCTTGACTCGCTCATGCGTGTGTCTGTGGGTGGGTGGTTGGTTCTGTTGTGTGCAGGGGTCTTCTTGCCGTCATCAGCAGTCTGGCGCAGTGGTAGCCTCTCCTTCGTCCATGTCGATGCCCCCTCCCCCCCTCCCTCTGCCCTTCATGGACATCGCCATGCAGCAGCAGTACAGGCCCATCAAGCTCATCAGACACGAACACACCCACACCCAACAGCGAGACGACCAAAGGCAGCAGCAGCAGCATGCCAGTGGCGGTAGTACGGCAGAGCAGCAGCGAGACCCGCCGGACCGGTCGGCGGCTGCTGGTGGGGGGAGGGAGGGGTGTGGCTGGGAGAGGAGGGCGGGTGCCAGCAGGGCTCTACTTGTGCCCGGACAGCTCGTGCAGGTCGCATGGTGAGCCGCGAAGAGGGGCACATACAAACAACGGACATTCTCACGATCATCATCTGTATGTGTTTCGATCAGCGGTTTTTGTGGCGGCCAGGTCAAGTGGCGCGACGGCACCATTGCTGCTGCAGCCACCGACGCCGTCAGAGTGAGATCCCCAACAACACCCACACCCAGATGAAGACGTCCGTCCTTTCCGTGTGTGTGTGATGTTGTGGTTGTCAGATCTGTGTGGACACCCCGGCCACGTCGGGTGGCAGCAAGTCGCGCAAGGGCTCTCCCGTCGGCTCCAAGGAGGTCATCTGCTCGACAGAACGATTCATCGGCGACGACGAAGGTCAGCAACCAAGGCTCGCAGAGAGAGAGGGAGGGATGAGAATCAGCCATGAAGCCGCTGTAGTGTGTGGTGTGGTGGTTGTTATTGCAGATGCGTGTGAGCGCGCCTGCCTCTCCCCCTCTAGTGGGATGTTCCGCCTTCGCCCAGAGGGCTTCGAGCAAAGCACCACCACCGCCACCGCCGCTAACACGCTGCAGCCAGGTACATGACGACAAGAGATAGATGGATGGATGGATGGATGGCGACAATGTGTGTGCGTGGTCCAGGTTCGGTGGTGTGCGTGTGGTCGGATTCTAACAAGGGCTATGACGATGCGGTAGTGCTGGAGGTCTGGAGATACGCTGCCAGGCAGCACAAACCCACAGAGGTCTGCACACACAGACACCTTACAGACACATGACAAGACACCATCGAAGCGTCTGTGTGGTTGCTGTGTGCGTGCAGATCAAAGTAAGATACCTTAATGGAGGGCAAGAGAAGCGACTCAACCTCACGGTGAGCAGAGCAGCCCATGCTCTCCCACACAGACACATGCACACATGGCTCGTCATTTCTCCGCCTTCTCTGCCCTCAGTCGGTCCACTACAAGCACAGCTGGACCTACGCCCTCCCCTCCCGAATTAACCCCACCAGCACACACGACTCGGCACCGCCCCCGGCCCCGTGTGCCGACCCACGAAGAGGTGGCGGCTCTCCCTGGCGAGTCCCGACTCTCTGCTCACACCCACCAGCGGTGCTCAGACAGCTGGGCCTCCGCGCCAGGCGCAAAAGGAGCAACTCATCGGCAGCAGCAGCGGCAATGGACCGTCAGCTGTCGCCCGAGGTGACGATATCATGGGACTGTGTGAGCGAGGCGTACTGCGTGACGCGGCCGACCAAGCGGCAGGCCACGGGCAAGCGGCTGGTGTGCCACGACCCGCCGGAGTTCCGCATGGCGACGCGCCACTTCCGCAGCCACGATTGGGGGGGCCGCCAGGTGGCCCGCGCCGCGGCCATGCAGTATTTTGAGAAGTGCGAGCAGCGGGCCGACCGATGGAAGGCCCGGCACGAGCACAAGGAGCCGGGTGGTGGTGGTGAGGAGGAGGAGGAGTCCGAGGCCATCCCGCCGCTGTCCCACGACGCCGATGTGGACATGTCGCCAGCCAGCGTCCCCACCCTCGCATCCTCACGCACACGGCGGCACAACAACTCCCAGGCACTGGAGGCGGCAGAGAGCCCCCACCCTGACGATGCCATCGACACGCAGCCCTTGAGGAAAGCCAGCCGGCCGCCCTCCAAACGCCCCAAGTCCGGTGCGTCGGCGGGCAGGGGCCGGTCAGCCAGGGGGAGGGGCCGGGGCGGCAAAGGGGGCAGAAGGCGGCGGGCGGCATCGGCCGCCGAGGTGGTCCCACCTATCCAGGGCCACTACCCACAGTATGGTGAGGGTGGTTGTAGTGGCAATCGTGCCCATGGCGGCCGGGACCGAGATGTGTCACCCTCGTTTCTGGGAGTGATAGAGAGCGCCATAGAGGGGTTCGGTGCCGGCACCCAGCTCGGCGAGGGCGGCAGGAGCGTCGCCCGCACGTCCAAGGAGATCTTCAGCCGAATGATGGCCGATGGGGGAGAGGGAGGGGAGGGAGAGGGAGAGGAGGCCAACGCAGCAGCAGCTGCAGCCGAGTCCACCGAGGAGCCCTCCCTCCCTGTTGCTGCCGACGAATGGGCGTCAGATGCAGTGAGGATGACCCGGTCTCGCCGCAAGCTCGAGGAGACCAACCTCGCCGTGGCCGACAGCAACTCGAGCAAGAAGCACAAGAAGGCCAACTGCCACCCCCACTCCCACTCGCACACTGATCAGGCCTCCGAGATGACAGTGGCGTCGTCGCCAGCCAACAAGGAGGGTCCAAACAGCCGAGACAGCAGCGGCAAGGCCAAGCCTGACAAGCAGCAGGACAAGAAGGGTCGCATCCGCGGCCCTGACGGCCGCTTCATCACCAAGAAGCGGCAGCCAGATGGCTCGCCGCTCATCGAGAATCCTCCCCCTGCACACCGCCCGGCAACAGCCGCCGGCACATCTGGGAGGGGCAGGGGCAGGGGCATTGGCCGGGGCAGGCGACGCCGCAGCAGCTGGTCACGCTCACGGCGACCGAGACGGCCGCAGATGGGGGCCTCCGAGCATCAGGACACTGCTGCAGCGGGTGGCATGGACGAGGGCGAGGTTGAGTCGGCAAATGACGATGACCATGAGGGTGAGGATGAGGATGAGAACGAGAATGAGGACACAAACAGCCGCCAGGCTGCCGATGACGGATCCGACACCCGACATGGCCTCGACGACGAGGTGGCCATCGAGCGGCAGCAGCTGGGCGAGCATGAGGGCGATGGCGGCACCGACGATGCCGCCAGGGGAGAGGGGCAGCCGGCAGATGCACACGCAGACAAGACGGAGACGCCACCACCGCACCACGAGGAGGCCGAGGACGACCAACACGAGCCGCCCCTTCCTCTGCACCCCCTCTCTCTCTCCGCCCCTCCGCTCGTCAATGACGCTGGCCGCCACGGAGGCCCCGACAAGGGCGATGGACGGGCAACGGGTGGGTCACTCGATATGGACGATGACCACGCCCCGGAAGAAGCTCCGAGCAGCCACCGCTTCGACCACACTCAGTTGTCCGCGCGAGTGCGCCCGCCCTTCACGCTTACAAGTGAGAGGGCCACTGGCGACCTGGTCCCCCAAGTGGCGATGGAGCCCTTCCACCCGTCCCACGACGGCAACGACGGCTGCTTCGACTATTCTGACTCGCAGCACGAGGAGGACCACGACGAGCGGCCACCCGCCCCCACATCATCGGCACCCCGGTCTCGCAGCCGCCGTCGACAGCTGCAACGGCCTGTGGTGCGCAGCAGTGACGTGATTGTGCTGTCGGAGGATGAGGACGGGGCGGCGAAAAAGGCCGGCGGGGGTCAGTGCCACCGACCAGCCCGACCACCGGCGCCAACACCACCAGTAGGCCGAGAGGAGATGCCGCCCGGCCACCCTGCTGCTGTCATGCATCCCTCGGAGCCGTCGGCCAGCTCATCGGCAGAGGGGCAGGGGAGCGGGGGGCAGTGAGGGTGTTAGCAAAAGAGACAGATAGACAGACGGACGAGAGGCTTTTTGCCTAGTTGAGTAATGTTGGTGCCTGCGGTGGGGTGTGTGTGTGTGTGTGTGTGTGATGGGTGTATGGCTGCCTAGTGCTTAGGTAACAACACAACGTACCAGAGCGTGTGTGTTTGTCTCTGTTCCCGCATTTTTCGCCAGCCACACAGAGACAAGACACGGCCGGCCGGTCGGTCTGGAGGGATCTGCTGCCTCTCGAGTGTACAGCTACCCAGCCATTGAGAGGCAGCCATCCTCCTCCCTTTGGTAGCCGTAGCTTACCTCCTCCCTGCCCCGCTGTCTCCCAGCGGCCCCTGCTTAATCCTGTACAGTCACACAGAAGGGGTTTCAGGGTGGGGAGGGTGTGCATACGACAGACAGACAGACAGACGGACTGCTTGTGCGTCATTTGACTAGGAGTGAATGCCTAGAGAGTCAGGCAGTCGGTCTCGGCGATCCGTACGGGCGGGGCTGCTCGGTTTCTCAAGTGTCAGTGGCCCCGCCCTGCCTGTGAATAGACAGACTACTCGTGCTAGTTCTGAGAAAAGGGTAACAGGGGAGAGGGGGGGAGGGTGGGGAAGGCGGGAGCTTCGTCTGTTGGGACTTCCGTCGGAGTGGTGATTCTGTGTTGGTTGGTAGGGGGAGGTTTATGGGTGATGGTTTGGAGGTCAGCACCTCCAGCCCATCAGCCATGATCCACCCTCCACACACACAACACAGTATTGCCCAGACATATATCGTATGACGACATGACGACACGCACTCACTCCTCACTCAGGGAAGGGTATTTTTACGTGTGTGTGGGTGTGGGTAAGCCAGGTGCTCTGTGACTCGTCATGCACCTCCCATAGCCTGTCAGTCTGAGTGCGTCCAGTGCGCCTGTGTGTCGTGTGTGAGTGGACGGTTGTCGACTGCATGTGTGTCAACGGATGGATGCAATAAGCACAGCTGCACACATTCACACACACGGAAGTCAACCAGTCGATAGATAAAACGACGAGACGTCCATCCATGTGTCCGTCATTCCACCCACCAGCTATTTCGACACACACACATACACACATTCACATGGACATGGCGGCATTCCGTTTGAATGCGCCTATCCCGTCCCTGTGGCACAAAACCAGGCGTGTGCACACCGCGACAGCTAAAAAAACGCACCCCCTCCCAAGTCTCCCATACACACACATACACTCACAGTGATGGCCTCCGTATGTATATGTCTCTGTTAGCACCAATACTCTCATTGTGTCTTGCGGCATGTGAATGTGTGCGGGATGGGCCATGCCAGTCGACAGAGGTAGTCAAGAGAACGCTTCTCTGCCAATTACACAGCCCCCGCGCATGCACACTTGTGTAAGTTCCGTCAGCCCATGACGCGAGTGTTGGTGTGTGGGGTGTGTGTGTGGAAAGGCCGCATCAGCCGACACACTCAGCGGCAAATGGTCCATCCATCCATCTATCTATCTATCTCGTTGCCTCTTCGACAGACAGCCTGACCCAGCGGCCACACACACACAGTATGTGAAGGCAAGGATTCATTGCTCTGTCCTCACCCCCTAAGAGCGACGCGTTGCAGTCAGCTCAATGGCGTAACTACTCCATCGGAAGTTTCGTCCCCAACGCCATCGTCTCTCACGTGTGTCGATGGTGAAGTGGGCGAAGACCTCTGTGCGGAGCAGCTGCCGAATGGCGGCGTCAGCGGCGTTGCTGCCACGCACCCTCAGCGTCAAACACTTCAGGCCTCGCACGCCACCGACGATGGATGAGATGCCGCCGTGGATGAGCTCGGCAGCTGCAGAGGCCTCCAAGTTGTTGGGGACTGAGTGACCAGTCACACACAGACGGCAACAAAAGCACATACACAAGATGAGCCGCCAGAATTGTCTGCTCCGGTACATACCTTCTACGTCCATTGTATATGCTTCACCGATACGCACATGGCCAATCGATGGGAAGTTGTCCGATTGCCAGCCGTCCAATGCACCCTCAGTGAGACTCACCGAAGGCCCCGTTAGGCGAACAGTGCCCACCTCCCTCTCCACGCCCAGGCCTTCCAGCACGCTCCTTCTGCCTTCTGGACTCACTGTTGGCTCGAACATCACCTCTTTGACCTTGCTCGGCATCTTCTCTGCCAGCAGTCGTCCCACAGTAACGCCAAGAGCACTGTAGATGTGCAGCTCACTGTCCGTTGATGCAATGGTCACAGATGAGGACCGCTGCTGACCGGCGCCGCTATATGCATCCACCGTCAAACGCTCCAGGCCGCGCACGTCACTGACGATGGATGAGATGCCGTCGCGGATCCGCTCGGCAGCCGCAGAGGCCTCCAAACCATCCGGCACTGAGTGACGATACACATACAGGGCCACAACACGCACATAAGATGAACGAGCCAGCCAGAATCGTCTCCTAACACTGCATTGCGTACCTGACAACACAATTGCTACGCCGCGAATCGATGGGAAGCTATCCGATCGCCAGCCGTCCAATGCGCCATACTGCTCACCGACAGTGACGAGGCCAACCTCCCTCCCCGCCCCCACCTCCTCCAGAACGCTCCTTCTGTCCGCTGCACTCACATGTCTGCCAAACGTCACCTCCTTGATCTTGCTCGGCATCTTCTCTGCCAGTAGCCGACTCGCAGCAACGCCAAGACCACTTCTGATGTACAGCTTACTGTCCGTTGATGCAATGGTCACAGATAAGAGCCCCTTCTGAGCGGCGCCGCCATACACATACAGCGTTAAACGCTCCAGGCCCCGCACGCCATCCACAATGGATGAGATGCCTTCGCGGATCAGCTCGCAGGCGGAAGAGGTATCCATATTGTCGGGCACTGAGGAATAGCTCACAGACAACAGAAATGCACACATAAGACGGACCAGCCAGAATTGTCCATTGAAATGCATTGCGTACCTGACAGCCCCATGACCAGGTTGTGAATCGATGGGAACTTATCCGATGACCAGCCGTCAAAGGGATTCTGAGTGAGACTGACCGCACCGACATCCTGCCACCACCGTACACCGCCGACGTTGACTTTGCTCACCTCCCTTCCCGCCC